GTAGATTCATTTAGGTATATATCCAATTCGAAAAGGATAAAACTCAACATCGATATAACCTTAGTTCTATCTTTCTCTCATATAAAGATAAATAAATAAATAATCTTAGCGAACAGAGGTAGTTTTAAGCAGTAATAACATTTATAAAACATAATTGCGTTGCATGGTAGATTCATTTAGGTATATATCCAATTCGAAAAGGATAAAACTCAACATCGATATAACCTTAGTTCTATCTTTCTCTCATATAAAGATAAATAAATAAATAATCTTAGCGAACAGAGGTAGTTTTAAGCAGTAATAACATTTATAAAACATAATTGCGTTGCATGCATCGTTGTTCTGTCTCTTCTAGAAACTAGTGCATGTAGCTTCATGCAACAGTCGATGGATATACAAAAGTTCATTAAATAAAGTTCTAAGTTATCAGGAGTAGTCCTTGAACTGAGATGTTCGATCATGTAGTTAAATCAAAATATTTGGGAGAATTTTTTTGCCCCTTGTTCCCTGTTCAACTAACACAGGTTTTTTCCTCCTCTTTTTTACCCCAGGAGAGTGGGAAAACTAATGCCAGTGTACTATTTAAAGGTGCTATAATCATGCATCTATCAGACTTGGTACTTAACAATTTATTTGTTATAAATACTGTTTTGGAATGCTCTCTATTAATATTTTCTAAGTTTTCTTCTTTCCTGATTTGGAGACGTAGAGCTGAAGCTAGGGTCTAATTAATTAATTAATCTCTAAAGAGTTCTTTCAAAATCATTAGTGTTGTATCTTTAATCAGAAAATGATTTGGGTTTTTTAACATTTTCATGTGATGAGGTCTAAGTCTTAAGTGTTAATACAATAATTATTTTATTAATTTCCTGTAAGAATTATGCATACATTCAAACAACTTGATAATGATTTTAACATGCAGACTATGAATTTTCATGTCTACTTAAAAATGACAATATATTTCATTTACTTGGTTCAAAAACGTAACCATTGAATAGGAGTGATTTACGTATATTTTTCTTGATGTACAGATTCTAAATTCATCATTGTTTCAATGAATTGGAGTCTTTTTTTTTTTAAGAAGAAAGTTGAAATTGACCAGAAAATTTTATAAGTGCATTTCCAGACAGAACCATTTATACTTCAAAATTAAGCAAATAGAAAAGCATGGCAGTAATTATTTTTTATTTTAGTGCTTTCTTGGTTTATCTCTTTGTTTCTTTGTCTATGTAAGAGCAAAGAATGCTCTAATACTTCTATAAACTAATTAGATGATTGACAGAGGTTTTTTATGTGTAGGCTTTATGGTATCAACTGAGGTTATGTCCAGTTCGATATCGGTTTTCCTGTTGTTTTTATGTGCTATTGGTTAAATATATATATTACACTTATGAATATAGGGCTCCTCGCCCTATTTTTATCTTTAAAAAAATTATTTATTATTATTTGTATACGTCACCAACTGATGCCAAGTACTATTGTTGACACTTGTTTTCCTTTTCTTTCTTCTTTTTTCTTTATTTGAGCAAATCACATGTGCAAATAGAAGGCACCAGTTAACCTGATCAATTAATGCTCACCTGCAAATTGCTGTATAGTGGATGCTTTGATCAGGTCACCACAGCAGACTTGAGAGTCCAAAAGCTTATTTACGTGGTCAAGTTCCTCATGTATGTTGCATTCAAATGACTCCTTTGACAATTAATATTAATTGGCCTCTTTGAGCGAGTTGAAATGGTATTATTAATTAATGAACCCAAGTTAATTAAGATCGTGTCCTTCATACTTTTCCATTTTCGAAGTCCTTACATCTAGACAAAGCTAGCTACAAGTAAGTTGTAGCGGATGAAAACAAAATGAATCCGATGAAGTTCCCTAGAAGTACTGGCACCTAAAAATCATTACTACTTGATTGCTGAGCACAGACAGTGTTTTCCACCTCCATATCTTGGTTTCCCACCTGCATATACAACCTCTCTCTATCGAAACTTTCTAACAAAAGGACAGCACGCTAATTAATAGGTAAGCAAATTAAGCCTAATTTGGTCAATGAAGGGAATAATTGTTACTCATGCATGTCAGCCTCTCCCTCATATATACTAAATTATTCCTTCTTCCAACCTCATAATTTTCTACTAGTACTAATAATTATTCTTCTTCTTCTTCTTGCACCACCACCGCCTCCTCAAGCTAGCTCTTGATGATAATTAATTTCGTTGTATATTCTCGTGTGAGTCTCCTCTTCCCCTCCTTCCCCCCAGATCTCCATTACATCTTGTAAATATATATATATACATAATAATCCTAGTGGATATCAAAGAAGGGAGGAATAGATGGAGAGGGGAAAGGAAGTGTTGGGGTTCGAAGAAAGCTTGCAAAGTAGAAGACTTTCGCCGATGCTTGACCTAAACGAAGATGCGGTTAAAGATGAGGATCGAGAAGAGCAAGGAAATGATGGTGAGGGTCAAGAGAGCACTACCGAGGCTACTGAAGGAGGGAGCTCTAGCAATAATAGTGGTAGTGCCGATGATAATAATGACGGCGACAACAAGAAGAACATCTTATTAGAGGACAGCAATGAAAGGAAGAGCACTGTGAGGCAGTACAACAGATCGAAAATGCCAAGGCTGCGTTGGACTCCGGACCTTCATCGATCTTTTGTTCTTGCTGTCGAAAGGCTTGGTGGCCAAGAAAGTAATTCCACAAACCCTTCTCCTTGTCCATCTTAATTTCCCTTGGATACGTTAATAGTATTGATGATGTTGTAGTTGTCTTTGGTTATTCTTGAAAAAGAGATCTACTTTCAGTTATAATACGTTTTGATATTTTGGTAGAAAGTGATACTTTTGGGGTTAACCGTGCTCTTCAATTATCGCTTTGGTGATGAGGGTCACATGTTTGCGGTGCAGGAGCAACCCCAAAGTTGGTTCTTCAGATGATGAATGTGAGGGGACTAAGTATTTCTCATATAAAGAGTCACTTGCAGGTATGAGAAGGAATCAAATCAAGAAGGATTAAAAGTCTAAAAGAAGTTGCTATATATAGTCTAATTTCTTTGCTTTTTTACTTATCTGGAGAACAGATGTATAGGAGCAAGAAGCTAGATGACTCAGGACAGGAAAAGAGTAACATGTCCTCTTCAGGTTTGATTTTTTTTTTTTTGTTGTTGGATGCTCTTTTCCTTGTATAGACAAAGAAAATAACTTAAAGATTGTTTTTGAATCCAAAAAAAAAAAAAAATTAATGAAATTTCTAAGGTGTTGTTGAACTTAAAAATAAACGTCTTAATTTGTATAAATGAATTTTGTTTTGCGTATCGATCTAGCTACTCGTTAATTTCATTAAAGACAAGAACTTGCTAGGATCTAGATGCAAGTCTAGAGGGGAGCGAATAGAGTTGCTCAGTTTTTTCAACAAATAAAATAAATATAAATAATTGCAACTGAAAAATAAGAAACGAGAAACCACAAGCACAAACACAGAGGAATTTTATAATGCTTCAGATAAATAATATGTGCACTCTTCCTCCACAACAAGAGAGGCTTATAGGCTATGTGAGTGTTCTCTAGAACCCTAGAACCCTAATCCAGTAGGTGATACAAGCCCGCACTTATTACCTAACTAGTCGTCTACACCTCTCAATCCCACACAACTGTATCCCTAGATCCCAATTAGTAGTGTAACCCTCAATTAACCCCAGTTTGAGTACGCTGTACAAACCGATCCAAAGATCATAGAAAAACAAGTAGTATTTTAATTATAATATCAATATCAATAAAGCTCAAATGAAAAAATCTTATAGTCCTTGCTGATCAAAACGTTCTTCTGAAACTTGAAATTTCAGATTTGATAGAACGATGATGAAATCATCGATCATAGAGTAGCACTTGTCGACGATGGTAGACCAACTCATGAAGAACACATTGACAAAATGATTGAGCGAGCTACGGGATGATCCAAATAATATTTGATCTGTAATCTTCAAACCCTAGCTCTCCCCTCCCCCTCTATCAAATCAGGTCAAAAAAGAACCGTATGAAATAAGATAGGGGATGGGGTATCTAGCTCATCTACAAAGAACAGTTGAATTTACATATTGAAATTTGAGTTTTTGACCCAGACTCATCGATAAGCAAGACTGCTCATCGATAAGCATTGGCTCACAATTGGGTCAATTGCTCATCAATGACCAGGGAACTTCTACCTTTCTTTTATTGATAGGGCCTTACGAATTGATGACCAATGACCTTAACTCATCGATGAGACGCGCTCATCCATAATCAGTGGTCTCCTGTTAAAATTCACCATCAGTCGGATGTTAGAAATCAATGAAACTACAGCAGGTTCATCAATGAGTGCTTATGCTCATAGATGACCATTTTGTTCAGCGATGACTATACTACTCATCAATGAGTCTGCGTTGCAGATTCATCCTATTGAGTTGAAGTTCAACCCGTGTGATCTTGATATCGATTCTAACAATGTATAAATCTGCACAAATCGTCTCTAAGACAAATCAAACTCAACTATACGTTTGTTATTATTCAAACAAATTAAAGAACTTGTACGGACACAGTCCTAATAGGGCTTTCTCTAAAATAATTATATGCTTTGCCTTTCGGTAATGCTTTTTATTTTAATTTAATTAAGGCAAGATCTAGCTAGTCTGATCCTAATATATCTGACAGATAAAGGATTGTACTAAATGAGATCTTTCTCACTCAGGCATTTAATTTAATTAATGCTTAATATTTTCATTTGTTCTTAAATCCAAACTCCTTTTTGGGTGTTGGATAGAATGTTCTTGTAAACAAGGAAGAGGTCTTTATCTGTGGAAATTCAAATGTGAATTGAGAAAATGATCCTGTGAGACTTTTCTATACACTTTAAACAAAATTTGAAAATTCAATATAAGCTATCCACGCTTATAAAACTTCTAGAGATACTTCCGCTGGAATAATAACTCAAAATCTTCAAAGATATCCTTATTCCACTTTTTTCCCTCCAAACAAAATCTCTCTTCGAACCTTCTCCATGTGTTTCACATTCATCCTTAAACTTGCTAATTTAGCTTTGATTTTCATTAACAATTGTCCTACATTTGACAAATATCTGGTTACCGCACTTGTTTTAGGAACATCACGGACGGATATTTATTTTTCAAGAAGAGATCACATATCCGATATGTTCTACAAAAGAAGGAATTTAATGGAGAATAAGGCTCTTTCTCAATCCAAGAATGTCAGCAATCTACAGCATTTTTACAATCTTCTTGGACAATCAACACCTCCTCAGCCCTGCAGTTTCAGGTATCAAAAGTGCACAATTTCTTGAAATAAAAAGCTATACCCTGCAAACGTAATTTATGTAAACGATAAATTTATTTATTTTTCTCCATGATTAATTAGGCAGCTGCAGTGTGCTTTCAGTCAAAAAATGGCAACGAGAACTAGTTCCGTTGAGGATATGGTCTTTCAGAAAGAAGGGAAGCCAACAAGCCATCTTTTTGATGTTAGAGACACACTTAATGCAAGAAATGGGAATGCAACGACGGTCGATGAAGTTCATGACCAAAAAGTTAATGAGATTGCAAAGTTTTCTGCTCTTGTTAAGCAAGCCTCCACTGGTTCTACTATTGAACTTAACACCGCTAGAAACTATTATAACAACAATATAAGCAACATCAAGAAGACTGAATCACTTCAACATGATACTATCGCTATAAATGAAAGCTTTGGCCACACCTTTGGGCACTCATTTTCCCTTGAGGTACTTTCTTCTTGCTTTTACATTAATTAACAAAGCTATTTTAAGTTAAGGTTTACTATATCGTCTTTTGATTGCATAAATATATATACATCGAGTCATGAACAAGTTAATATTGAATTTCAACATATGCAATAATAATTATCATTATATCAAAGACTAACTTGCTTCATTTACAATAATCTCGTTTTGACAGCAACAGGAGGACCATGCTAATAGCCACAAGCGCAAATTTGATGACATGTTCAATATTGGAAAAACAACAATTTCAGAGAAGAAGAAGATGAAGTGTACCCCTAATTTGCAACTAAGTTTGAGGCCAATATCACTAGGAAATGGAATCAACAATGAGAAGGATACCGAAACTGAAGAAGCCGATACTATGCTCTCACTATCTCTCTCTCCTCCTATTTGCACAAAAGAAGCAAGGAACTTTACAATACAAGAATTTAGCGTGAAAGAGTTTTTAAAGAGTAATTTAGCAGCTACTAGGCCGCTACAGGGCTGAGTACTTCAGATCTGACCATGCTAATTGCAGCATTGGAGTGAGATCTTTCAAGTACTTAGTCTCAAGGCCTGAGCATTAGCATAGTTTGATTAGTTTCCTATGTATTAAGGTATATATAGAGACTAAGGGTTCGGTTGAGTCTATAACTACTTTGAGATCAATGGCCGTTTTACTAGCTAGTTTCCTGCCATTATGATTTGAGAGAGATTAGTTATCCTGATGGGTTGGTAATCACTTTAGACCGCTATAAAAATTAGTTGGATTATAAATGATTATTAATATATGATTGGACATGGTTCAGTTTAAAAAAAAGGGGCATGCAAGACGTATAATATTGTTGCTTACCGTGATACGTTATATTCAAACAAATATGCTATGTCTGAGATCAAAAGATGCAATGATAAATAGTGATTATCTCAAGGAAAAAAATAAATGCTTACTAATTTGAAAAGCACTCTGATTTTATATGCTTTAGAAATCATGAATATATATATACACACACACAAGTTATTACTAAACAGTACTGTAATGTGCTAGTTTCTTCTCAATGCCATTATATATTTATGTGAAATATTTTGCTTAGAAAAAGTTATCAAGTTCATGAGATATAAAGTTCGTAATAAACGACAGTACTCAAGTAATCACTAAACCATAACTGCAGTACAACATTAATCATGGAGACCATAACTGCAGTACAACATTAATCATGGAGATCAACACCTACGTGCAATAGTTTTTCAGTATGGACAAAAACATAAAATGGGGATTCTTGGATGTGGAAGCAAATGTTGAAAAAGAGAGATAAAGCTGTGAATTTCTGTGGAGGGGTTGAAAATCTGATACAACTCCTGAGCTGCTGTTTTAGAAATCAAAAAGCTCGGATATCGACTTTGTACAAAGCTTTTTCCCCTGTTATTCGTAGTGTGCCTTGGCATGATACTGTATAGGAAAGGATGAGCTACCCAAAATATTTTTTCATTTGTTGGCTTGTTGTTCATAATCGACTGCTTACACAAGATAGGTTGATGAGGAGGGGAGTCATTAATGCAAATGTATGCAGTTTATGTTCAGGCGATAGTTTGGAAAGTCGAAACCACCTGTTCTTTGATTGCAGTTATTCAAGTGAAGTATGGAATTGTATCATGAACTGGCTTCAATTCTCTTGGAAGTCTTGCGATTGGAGGCTTCTATTGGACTGGTGTTGCACAAGACTGAGGGGGAAAGGATTTAAACAAGGGATCAAGCGCATGGCATTTTCTGCTACAATTTACAGGATATGGGAAGAACGAAATGTCAGTTTTTTTTCAGCTTAAGCACAGAAGTGTGGAATGTTTGATCAAGATTATAAAGATGGATATCCTGATCACAAAAATCTGAATTCTCCGATCTCTGTTGAAAACAGAGACTGGTTATATTCCTTGTAAAGGCTATGTATATATATGTTCTTCTCTAGAGTTTTGTTTTCAGGTTTTGATATCTCAAATATCAATTAATATCTTGATGTACATAAATTCTCATATTGGTGATGAATAAAAAATTTTCATTGACCAAAAAAACATAAAATAAATTCTTGGGCTTGAATTAAGACAGATTGTATTCGAGGGGGAGGAATCCAACCATTACAAATGAAAAAGGTTGATAGGTAGATCACATGTGTTAACTGACATATATCCAGGTCCCATCTCCGGTAAACTCAAATTTTCAAGTAGTTTTGGTTGTTGAAGGTAGCATGAACGAAGATATATATACTTCCCTATATATGTACTCTTCTAATTGGTTTTTTTTTTTTTTAAATCGTCCTCGTTGTGACCTATGAACGTGTTGGTTTTGGTAGTTGTGTGGTTGTCGAAGAGTCATCCTTGTTCCATTGACGTCAAGGATTTTTCTTGTAATGATCTTGATTTCAAGATGATCGACGCTCTCTTTCCTGAGAGAAGTAAACTTCTTAATTTTTGTTTAGCGGGAACAGTTAGAATGTCGCTGATCCTTTTATCATAATGAGGGACCTGATCACATGTATTATGAATTCAATTCAGAGGCATGAAATTTGACAAACAAAGACTTCACACATAATTGAAACTTACATTAGGTCAATAACGGCTTGGTGGTCATTAATTATTATATGGCTTAGTAAGTGGGAAATTTGATGTCATCTCTCCTTAATTAGAGAACGATGAATAATAGATAGAACCCTAGGGTTTTTCTTGGAGATAATCCCCCAAAAAAAATTCGATTTTACTTGTTTACTAAAAATAAAAAATTTATATTCGATCTCCTTTAAAATAATTATACTAATTACACCATTGTAGCGATTCATGTAACCTGATTATATTTATTGCTAATTAAATATACAACATGATCTACTCCTCTTAGGATTCAATTATGAGTACGTAGGCAGAGGTTGGCTGCAATGTACAAATATATCTCTCAACTACACAAATACGCTACAATATACAAATATATCTCTCAGCTTTTCCTCACAGTTTCAAACTTTTAATTAGACCCATTAACAGTTGAAGAAGTAATTTGCATAACAATATATCATGAAGGTAATTTTTCAACAACAAGTCTATGTCAATGTTCCCCCACAGTTTGAAGTCGTGAACAATTGAATTAATAAATATTAGCATTGACGATGACAGGTTCATTTATAAACTGCCAACTCGTTATATATATAGTCGACGAGAGTGGAATTTTCCAGTTCATTTGATGTTGAAAGCCCTCATACCAACTCACGAGGGGTCCACTTCCGAGAATGGGCTTCAATATGAGGCACCCAGGGGACGGACGCCATGTTTTGACTTTTGACTCATACTTTCTTATTTTGGACGGATTCTATATATAAAGAATACATATTTAGCCTCCATGTTTGACTAATGTTGTGCTAGAATCTTAACATCACATCCACGCATGCAAATGATTAGGGTTGAAATAATGACGGATTACCAGAAAAATCTTCATGGATCTGAAAAGGCTCTCGTGTTGGGGTACCGAGGGCTAACACAAACGCTGAAAGAGAAAGCTAAACACAATCAAAATAACGGCACGAACACAAACAAATGAATTTTACGTGGTTCAGCAAGTTGTCTACGTCCACAGGGCAAGAAGGGGATGGGTTTTCACTAATAGAGAAGGAGAGTACAAATAGAAATTACAAATTCACTCAAAATCTCTCAAACAAACCTCTCAAAACTCTCAAACAAAACCCTAACCAAATTACTCAGAAAACTCTCTTTTCTGTGCAAAAAACAAACCCCTTTTCAACTCTTTTTTTAATTCTCTTTTCTAAACCGTTCCATATATATAGAAATCCCAAAACCAAAAGCATACTAGGAATTCTAAAACCAAAAACAAAACAGATTAGGAATCCAAATAACCTGTTACCAAAACAGATTTGGAATCATGTTACCAAAATAGATTAGGAATCCCAATAACCTGTTACCAAAACATATTAGGAACCTGCTATCCAACAATTCTTCACATCGGCGAAGTTTTCTCAAAACTGAGCCGACACCAATACCAACCAAACGTCTCACTTGTTGAGTTCAGTACGAAGTAGAACAAATCCATGATAATGGCCTCAATCCATAATAAGTCGAGAACCCAAACGAGAATGCGAATAAACTCCAAATGTCGGTATCAACTCACCAAACCAGATGCATCAAAATGACTGCCTACGTATCCTCTTGTCTAAGGAATCAAGCCTCACGTAGTCCACCAAATGGTCTCCAAAGGCCCTCAATCAACTAGAAGGATTCTCAATCCTTCACGATCATCACTAACAAATATGCAGCTGATAATTCTCCTACTGACCTCAAAGTGAAACGAACCAAACACCTCCACCTGAGGTGAACCAACAGCCATAGCCAAATCCGAACTGTTTCCACCAGCTGCACCCGAATCAACAAACTCCACTCTGTAGAGTCGGCATCACAAACTTACGGTAGTGCAGGGCACAAGTAGCCCGAAGAATCTGAATCTGAATTGTCACCACTAGCATTGGCAACATTCACCTCTGAAGCTTGTATAGCCTTCCCCTATTCTTCTCGGCTCGATCTTTCAACTTTGGGCATTCAGACTTCCAATGTCCATCTTTTTTGCAAAAAGCATATTGACTCCTACCAACTGAACGATGTGTTCCTCTAGACTGCGACCTCCTATTTCGGTTTGGACTTTTCCCTCTTGCGATTAATGCCTCCGCTACTAAATCATTAGAAGACTCCTTGTCTTTCTTTCTTAGTTGATAGTTCACAAGTACAGTGGTGACCTCACTATACGAAAAAGATGTCTTTTAATTAATTAGGGTAAGAACAAAGGTCTCATATTCATCGTCTGGCAAGGAGCTCAACAACAACAACGCGTTGTCCTCATCATCGATCATAACATCCACATTCGTCAAATCCATAAGAAGCTTCGTGTAGTTGTTCATGTGATCACTAATTAAGATTTCCTTCTTCAACTGGAAAAGGTAAAGTCTCCTCTTCAAATGTAAGCGGTTCTCAACACTCTTCGTCAAATACTTGCTCTCAAGAATCTCCTAAATCTTCTTTACAGAAGTCTCATTGATCACATCATATTTTAGATCATGCGTTAAACAAGACCAAATCACACCACACGCCGTCCGATTCATCTTCTTCCAAACATTCTCTTCAATATCGTCCGGCTTGCCGTCCAACTCCAAAATGTCTTCCAAATTTTTCGCATTCAGCGCATCCAAAACTTCACATCTTCATAAGTCAAAGTTATTCGTGCCATTAAACTTCTCCACATCTATCTTCATAGAGTGAATATTCAAACTTTGAACGGTCTTCACATCAGAAGTACCACTCTCAACACCTTCTTTCCTAGCCATCTTCCTCAAAATACCAACAAACCAATGTGAAACAAACTGAAAGAAAATAGATCCAAATTGCGAGAAAGATAGATTTTCACCTCCAACTGAAATCCTAACAATAGCCTCCGAAAGATCTCAACCCCACACGACGGAATACAAGATCCACAATAGTAAAAATCTCACATTTATCACCAACTGAAATCCTAAACGAGCTTCCAAAGTGATCTACTCCTCAACCTAATCCCAAGCGTAGCATTGCTCTGATACCACTTGTTGGGGTTCCGAGGGCTAACACAAACGCTAAGAGAGAAGGCCAAACACAATCAAAATAACGCCACGAACACACATAAATGAATTTTACCACTACAAGAAATTACATCTTTAACGAAGGGATTTCCCTTCGTTAAAGAGCTAAAAACCGTCGTTATTGTATGCTAACGACGGAGAAAAATCCCTTCGTCACCCGTCGTTGAAGCCCTCTT